GTTACGAAATGTTACAAAAATGTTACATTTGAGATATAATGTAGCATTTTCCCAAAATTTCATAAGATTTGCTAAATCGGACAATGTTGTAACAATGCTATTCCAAAAAATTGCTCAGCGTAATGCAGCATTTTCCACAATTTCCCACCATTTTCCAGGAAAATGGGGAATTTGCATTTTTTGAATTTTGGACAATGGCGCCCCTTCGACCTGTGAGAGGGGCTTCCATTATTTCCGAAGCTCTCTCCTCAGCAATTGCACGAAATATTCGTCAAAAATCCATCTAGTATCGGTCAATGCCCATGTCTAGAACAGGTTAGCTAATCTATATTTTTTGTCGCACAGACTATAACCCTCTTCTGAGCTGAAGATCACCGCTCCAGACTAGCTAGATCGTCAAATAATGCTATCGAATAATTCCTTGGCGCTTGTCTGCCTATAGCTATAATGGGTTGATCGGCACTAGAGTCAACTATCATAGATATATTGGAATTATCAACACTATACCGGGTGTTATATAACCGACCACCACTCCAGAGCGATGGTCTAGCTAGAATACGGCGTTCACTCAATCTCCTTGATAATTTGTCATTGATAAAATTTTTTAAGGATGCAACATCTCTTGGTGTATTATGTGGTATTCCCAGTTGCCTTGCGAGTTGATGGATCGGATCTAGGGGATGTACCCGAATCGGCACGAAATTCTCAACATGGATATTTGGACTAAGCGAGGAAACCAGTTGATCTACGTCCTCTTTGCTAATATTATTACACCCTTCCAAATTGAGGTATTTTAAATTAAGACATGAACCAGCAATTTCTTTTATAGTTATATCTGTAATATTACAAAAGCTAAGGTCGAGTTGCTGGAGCCTTGGGCAAGAACGAATAACATTACAAATTGATGTTTCAGAATATTCTCTACGATTAGAGATATTTAGATATTCTAATCTATGGCATGACTTCGCGATTCTCCATAGACCACTGCCATCTACTTCTAGAGTACGAAAGCTCCTAAAACCACCTGACCGATCGACGCACAGATTGAGATATTTCAGATTCGGGTATGAACCCGCTATCAATTCTAATGCTCTATTACTAAATCCTGTGCTATTTATGAAACTCAAATGGACTATATTTGGGCATAAATGTACAATGCTTATGATTTTTTTATCTGAAAGTGAATGGTAGTATGATATTTCGAGATGAGTTACATTTGATCAATAAACTGGCGTTTGCTTCCTACGTACTAACTTTATGAATTTTTTCAATCGAGAGAGATCCTTTGCATGTTCTATCCTTATGAATTTATTTAATCGAGGGTGATCCTTTGCACAGTAATTTTTATAATCATTTGGAAGAGATTGTCCAGGATATAAGTCTTTTCCTCTCAATTCGATACGCTTCCATAGAATAGGGGCACCGCATCTATACCAAAGCCGGCAAACAAATAGGGCGGGATACAGTGTCTTATCTATCGCTAAGAAATATAAAATCTGCTCTAGTAATTCCTGTATATTAAAAATACTTGTATGGGCCATAAATAATATATGCTGTATCTTTAAACAAAAAAATAAAATTACACAATTACTGCTCCGGGCTAAGTCTTTCCACTATCTCATCAAATGTAAGTACTTCTAGCCCATCCAAAAGAACTTTAAATGCATTCTCAGGTGATAATCCTCTGAGGAATAGATTTTTAAGAAGCCATTCTGGATAGTCATTGCTTGAATTACATTCTTTCAGTTTCGAATAATATTCCTTTACTGTATAATTGCCTTGAACTATTCTTCCAAATAAAAATTCCTTTCTTTTGGTCCATTCAAGATTCGCCTCTCTATTCCATACATCATTTATGGTTACGGTACATTTTGCCGAAAGCCATTTCGCCGAAAGGACGTTTCGCCGAAAAATAGGGCCAACATTATGCAGAATTATAAATAACTCAGGCCAGAGATTATTTTTCGGCGAAATGGCTTTCGGCAAAATGTCCTGATACCATCATTTATACTGCGAGAATTTTTTAGGTCCTGCTTTGGAAGATACTTTAGAATAAATGGTAATAGTTCAGGCGGAAGTTGTTCTAGTAAATTAACTATATGCATTTTATATGGTTAAAAGATTTTTTTCAATCAGAAATATGACCCTCTCGTTCAAGAACTTCGTGATGGATATCTTTGACTGAAAATATGTAAAGCACCTTGCTTAATTACTTCAGACTACTAAGCGCTTAACCTTTCTCGGTCGCGCCCTCCTTCGTTGCTTAGCCAAAGGCACAAAAGCATGAGGGACAGCCCTTTCTTCTCTTACACACGTCAAATGATCAAAAATAGGCAAAAAAAATGGCGCAAATCGCATAAACTATTCGCAAATTTGTATAAACTATTTACAAATAGTATAAGTTAATTCGTAAATAGCCAAAAACAGCCAAAAACAGCCAAGAATAGCCAAGAATAGCCAAGAATAGCCAAGAATAGCCAAGAATAGCCACTGCTTTTCGCGCCATTTTTTTTGCCGATTTTTAGCATTTCGACCTGTGTTACCTGGTACCCATGGGATCTCTCAATTATCTCAACCGAATCAGAATCTTCAGAAGACTTAGACGAATAGGCAGAACCCTTACTTTTTTCATTAATCAGTATGGGAACTATTTTATGTATTAAGTCGACCACAGTCTCCCTATCCACACATTCGTCCAGATCCCCTAATTCGATTTTTAAGGATCTTATGTCTTTTTCCAGTCTTTTTACCCTCTTTTCTAAAGTATTATATTGGGGATGACAATCTTCGAATTGTTTTTTTAGTGCCTCTCTTATACTGGAAAGCGCACTATATGCTTCTGCATTTTGCTTGTATGCCTCTAATAACCGGGCTATTTTTTCTGTACGCCTGATAACTTCCTGCTCGCTAGATATATCAGATGAATGATTTTGATCGGTTACCATTTTGGTGATATACTGTATATGCTAGATCTTGTCTTGAACGAAAAAAAAATAAAATTACGCACATTGATATCCCAACTCGATCCCTCTGGGATCCCTCTAACCCTTATATGTGAATAATGTGATTAGTTTTCATCGAATAACATGAATTGGTTTGCTTGATCGTAAGGCATTCCACGAGGTCTGTAATTTACTATAGTATACCTCTGCGATGGCGCAGTGTTATTTTTAGGACTATGTCGAAGTGCTTGACTAGCAATAGTATTAGCTTTCGATAGATTCCTAACCCCACTCGCTACAACCGCAAATACAGCTCCTAAATTACGTAAGGAACTAGGAAGTAAGGGCTTACCAGTTTCAGGAAGAAATTCAGCTTTTTTCAGAAACCTACTCAAGATTCCAGTTCTAGTCGTCCCTGGGTCTCCTAATTGTCCGGAAGATATTGCTTCCTGAATCCATGTAAGCAATTGCTTTGCCCGTTCCTCATTCTTTTCAAGTGATCTAAACACTCGAGGAATATCCTGTTGATCTCGGTTTTTTACATATCCTGTTACACCTCCATTAGATATACGCAAATCTTTAATTTCAGCTGGACGGATACAAAGCATAATCATTACATCAGCTAGGGCCTGTTTGTCGGGTGTATTAGATACATCATACGAATCCAATCTCTCCTTAACCGATTCTAACGAGAAGTTGTCCGGATAATGAATTCCTTCATCTTCGCATAATAAACTCTTCTCCTTTTGGATTTTATTTGATAAAGTGGTTATCCCTGGAATCTTCGTAGCTTCGATTATTGCCTTTGGGGCATTAAGCTTCCGCAATTCCTTTCGGAGCCTACTGAGACTAGATGTGCAGGCAACCGGATTAGGGGATGTCTCGGCTAATGCTTTAGCTATAAGTTTTACTTCTTTTTCACCAAGGCTATCCCGCATAATACGCTGAGCCGTTTCTTTAATAATTTCTCCTTCTGGGATAATATCTGATACTTGGCAGGCGCTTTTAGTACAGCATATATTCACTTCTGCTTCCGATACTCCTTCTTTGGAGACTACTTGATTTTTAGTTCGACCAGTTCTTTGAGAAGGTACCAACGCAAATGCTTGTTCTTTGCTAAAGTTGTACCCTTTTTGAAGATGATCACGAGCCTGACGCCTTTTCTCTCTATCTTCTGGTAAGAGCTCAAGTATTTCTGGCGCATACCGGCTAAGCTGTTCAAGACTCATTTCATTGGTGAGTTCGTGGTCTGTAACGAACTTGGTTGTAATAGCAGATATGATGTGGTAAGTAGACTATGGTGGTAGTTAGATTAATCTGTGGTATTCAGATTATATATTGTGGGATAAAGTTCAATTCGATAAAAATATTCCGATAATGTTCACTATCTCATGGTCGGTGGGCAAAGAATGTTATAACTTATTGCGGGCTCTCTATGAGGCCACCGGCCGGGATATCTTTTATATATATTTGAAAATTGCAGGTAGATAGGATATGCGAAAAAAATATATAGTCAAGGAACCTCCATTCCAAGGCTATGAACAAATTGTCTGTATCGATTTACATTTTAGTAAAGTGCACGCGCTAGAGCTAATATTTCTTCCGATCCTAAAGGCTAAAGCATTTGTCTTAGTGAACGCATCATATAAAGCACTTGGCCTATACTTTGAAGGAGTTAAATTCGGGTGATGGAGGAATTTCATGAGTACGTTATTTTTCCAAACTTTTGTCTCTTCACGCTCCCAGCATAATTTTAATAGTTGACATAAAGTGAGATTGTGCCAATTAGCTTTGAGTAAAATCTGCAATAGGCTTATTTTTTCGTTAACCACTGTTAGTAAACTACTTTCTGATACGATACCCCAAATACGATAGGAAATGAAAGAGAGATATCTTCTTAGTATTGGTAATTCATGTAAAGGCGGAATCAAAAGCCTTTCTTCTCTCCAATGCATATAACCATCACATAATAATTTACGATATGCTGGCCCATTTATAATGATCATGCGATTAGATTTGGGATTATAGATTTTTTTGTGGGCTTCTGTCGGCTGGTCTAATGTATCCATAGCGTTAGTATAAAAAGATAATTTATCTCATTAAAATACCGATTAATTTAAATACATATTTATTATAAAATCAAAAGTGAAAGAGGGTCTTATATCCTAAAATACTTTTGCTTTAGCGTCTTTGACCATGGCTCGCTTTACTTGCGCACATATTAAGAAAGATAACACTATTTGTGGAAATAAGTGCTGTGACCCCACCGGGTGTTATAGACACTGAAAATTGTATGAAAAAAATCAGAAAAAAAAACCCTGCCTTTTTAGTGGTTGTGGATATCATACTGATAATGATTCAGGGTATTGCTTCTGCCACTCTGCTAAGATTTATTCGCACAATTACTGGATGAGGCAGAAACATAAGTCCAAGGGACTTCAACCCGAAATCCCTGAAGCTCCAATTTCCGAGTCGTATGATCGTAGTGCTTTGATCCATGAATACTTATTTTCCGCTTCTTCACAACTATTTGCGGATTCGATCCGGGTCGAAGTACTAGGTGATAGGGTTGTAATTAGAGGCTCAACTCCAGAGCCACCCAGAATCTATGAAGCTCCAGTTTCCAAGTCGGATGATGAGGATGATGAGGATATGGGTTTAGGTCTATTTGGGGATTAGTGGTTAGCTCGAAATTCAACCCGAAACCCCTTGAATTGTCTAGAGTGAGCAAAAAAAATTTTATTCCATTCATTAGACATATAAGATTGGCAGAAGCCTGCATTTCAGAAGTATGTGACTATGTATCCTGGCCGGAGTGACGCAAGGATAGAGATATTTTTTTAGTAATATATGCTGATAGATGAAGCCTTCTTCGGAAATATTATATAAAATTTGGAAGAAGGCTTCACCTACCTGATTCGTAATCAAATAGTATTAGCATACAGTATATCAAATAAGTCCTAAATATCTTCTGTAATTTGCGTATTACCCACTTTGCTAGAACTAGTAAAATTATCTATTAATTCATCGGGTGGAAGTTTACTATACCCATATCGAATATCTTCCCCATTTTCCCAATAAATTTCTTCACCCGTTTGATATGAAGGTAATCTAGGAGCATCTTTACTATCGAATGAACCTACTAGGTGGTAATGTCTACGATTCTTATCTATAGCTTTAAATTTTAATCCGTAAGTTGCGTAAAGTGATGCATTTAATAAACCAAGTTTTGCTCGAATCGTTTTTAATCCCGATTTATTAGCACTGCGAGATGCATCAGTATTATCAAACACTCGAGCCATTTTAGACACTAAACCCTGGAAATATGATATCGATTCAGGAGAACCTATACGCGTTTTGACTTCATCAGCTTTATATCGTGTTCTATCATCGATATCTCTAGCTGGTGTGCAAATTCTTAATAATTCTAGGCAAATTCGATGCCTCTCAGCCCGGGTTGCAGTTGTGAGCCTATCTTCTCTGTAATCTTTACGGGATATAGCCTCAACGGCCATTTCATTGTTAATACCAGCATATCGTAATTGCTTATAAGCCCTAAACCATTTCATGTGATTGTAATTCCCATACTTTGAGATGAAATTCTCGGTCAATGATTCAGGCGAAATCTCATAACAATCCACGATATGATGCCGGTCTAAAGAGCGCATCTCTTCTAAAGTCTTCTTTGGTTTATTCTCCAATAATTCGGTAGTCTCACGATCGAGAATATTAGCATTAGTTATATCTAATATTTCATCTGCTTTAACAACAAAACATTTTGCCTTTACTATCTGTGATAATGTATTTTCATTGGATTTAGGGCCGGATTCTATGATGGAAATTATCATACCTGCTTCTCTAAGAAAATCAACCATTCTCCAACCAAATAAGCGCCGGGAACGGAATTTTTCCAACATATAGGCCACCCATAATCGAACAGTCGGTACATCCTTATTCCGGATGATAGAATCTATATCTGGAAATATTCCTCTATTCTGAAGTTCCCGGGAGAGACATTCGCGTTTGGCATTCAACAACCATTGGAATAATCCTTTCTCTGTGACTGGAACGTTAGAAGATCTCTGCTCAATATGACATATATAATCTTTAATATATCGCATGCGGAATAGCATTTGATTCGTTCCGGCATTTGTTTCTATGTAGCTATTAAAAAGACAGAATGCCCGTTCAAACTTAGGATTAATGCAAGATACCCCTATTTTTAGAGTGCTAGTATATGCAACAAGGTCTACATCGATCCATGATTCTTCTACATTGCTAAAATCTTGAGCCTTTTCTACTGGATCAGATTTACCATGATATTCCTTGATTCGCAATTCTGGAAAATCGGTCTTAAGGGCATGAACAATCCCTTGTATATCTTTTCTAAGATGGCAGATAAGTGAAGCACTTTTCCGATTCTCAAAAGGTAGTGAAGATATTTGCCTAGCCCAATCCCAAAGTTCAGCTAACACAGTTTCTTTATTAGGAGCCAAGCGGAATGTCTTACCTTTCTGAGGCTGGTAAGTATTATGAATAATAGAAAAAGGTATATTCTTACGAAGGGCCTTAATCCATTCAATGTTGAGGTCTGTTAGGTCATTATCCATAACAATAATGCGCCTAGCCTTTTGGATTAATTTATACAATTTTTCTATTGATTGTCCTGCCAGCCGACTTTGTGCTTGAGCAATTATTGATACTATTTCATCAAGCCATAAATCATATTGGCTCGGAGGGCATTTGCATTTTTTACTGCATTTGCATTTATTAGTAATACGGTGTAAGCTCTCTATCTGACATACTACCCTTTTGTGATCGGGTAGATTTATATTACCATCGATATCGCAATATGACTTAAGATTAAGTCTGGTAGTAACAGCATTCGAGTAAGAGTGGCGCGTAGATAATACTAGCAAATTCACGTCGTCAGATATAGTAAGATGCTCTAAAACATATGTTTTTCCTGTCTCCCAAGGCGAACCTACATAGATATCGCCTTCATTCGGTAATGGTCTTACATATCTCTCCTCATATGTTTCTGTTGCTGAAAGGGACTCATTATACTTAGCCCAAGATGGGAAATTTACGAAGGCTTTAGGGAAGCCCAGAACTTTGACTTTGTGAGAGGATTGCAGAGATTTTTTATTTTCTTGCTGAATTTTTTCTGCAATAAATGGGTCACATTCAAAAACTACCCCTCGCTCATCACTATTTTGCCGAAAACATTTTACGATGAACCTTCCACTACTAGCGCATACACGGCCGAACTACCGCTGATCCTTGCCATGTATACGTTTGCAGAGTGGACATCCTAGTGGAGCTTTTCGGTTAAAATATACGAAGTTTTCTGAGTCCTTTTCTTCGATAATCCAATCCCTAAGATAGCTAGAATGCTTTTGTAAAACTAGTTCTGCATATTTTTGCAATATATCCAAACCCACGGATAATCTTAGCGGATTATTATTTTTTTCTGTGCTAAGCATACGAGGTCTTACTTTAAGTCCTAAACTAGTAGGTGGTTGAACCCTAGCGTGATCAAGTTCATTCCAGCCATTATCTAGAGAGAATTGAAGAATACGCTTTACACGACCTTTTTTTGCTGAACCAATTAGGCAAAGGTTAAAATTGTGACCAGATAATTTCCGATCAATAAACATGCCAAATTTTTTACCGGTTATGGTATATACTAATTCAGTAAATGCCTTAAGTTCGTGATGATCAATAAGAAGAGCTGGAGCATATAAAATATGGTAGCTACACTTGCTAGGATCTGATGATGTAGCGATTACTAATCCATTGAGAATGTCCTTCCAGTCACAATCAAGAATTCGATACAAGACTCTTATGAAAGATAGGCAAATTTGAAAGAATACTTCTTGCACCTTAACACCAGTTGTTTCCATATCTTTTTGCGAAGCATCTATGTCAATCACGGCTCTTAAAGGTTTCTGACCATTAATACATTCATGAATCCCAGGTAAGCCATATACTTCAGAAATGTCGTCGGCAACAGAAAATTTGGGGGCATGATCACCATCTTGATCGATTTTGATAACTAATTTATCTTCCACCTCACTTCGGTCATAGGCATTATACAAGCTAGAGCCTTTTTCATTCGGAAATAAGAATGAATAGATTGGGAGGCAATCCAATGACTCTTTGTCATTCGACATATCTCTAGGTGGTGATGAGAGAATTCCCCGAATGGCATTTAGCAAATCCTTAGGGGAAAATTTATCATTGAAGTTTTCTTGCCTCAAAGTATATGTCACATTAACCTTTCGTTCTTTCACAGCTTCGGTAGTGCTGGTTGAAGCGCAGGAAGCTTCTTCATTATTGGACTCATAATTAGATTCGTAGTTATTATAATCATCTGATCTGCAATCAGAATCATTATCATTATAGCTATCTGAGTCACTTAAGTATTTATCGGGGCCGGCGCCATCGTAGCGGAGGGCTGGGGTGGTTCTGGAGCGATCAGTTTGGTTGGAAATAGTTGGTGTATGCATGATGCTAGTTCGAAAAGTTATACTATCTCTATAACTTTTGGAAATGTTTAATTAATTTTTTTCGATAGTTGCAAAAAAGAAGTGATAGCAAACTTAGATGGCAAGGCGTGAAAGAAAGGCAACCTGATGTATCTGAAAAAGTGAAGCCTTCTTCGGAAATATTATATAAAAAATTGGAAGAAGGCTTCATCTCGATTGTATGTACTCTGATATGTGAGGCCCTCATTAACGCAAACTGGCTATACAATTTTGGGCCTGGTCAGAATCAATATATACCGCCTATACTGGCAATCGAAATTGGCATACATGTACCGGCAACAAATAGTCAACTGATATGTATCAACAAGTGAAGGTAACTCCGTAATCATTATATAAAATATTGGTAGAAGCCTTCATCTTTCTAGACATGTACTCGGGTATGGTATAAATGGGCTGGTCATGATAATACATAATGCACCTCTAACGATGGACACGAAATTGGCATACATATACTGGCAACAAATAGGTAATAGTTGGGATGCGAAATGGCTGGTAAACAAATGGGTCAGACCAAGATAATACAGATTACACCTCCAATTCTCTACTAACCAATGGACCACCAGACTGGGGCTAGAAAGATTTCAGAAATATATGAATACAAAAAATATGTAACACAAATGCATATATATTGGGTACCGGAAACATTCCCAGAACATTCCCGTCACTAGCCCGTAACTATGTGAGGGTGTTCTGTCACCGGAACAGTATCACGTGACTGGCGCAGTAAGGCGCAGTATAAATTCGGCCAGCATTATTCCATAATTTCGGTTAGAACTTTGGGCATAATAATTTGGCATCCAAACCAGCATAAAGAACTGGTGAATTAATAGGACTATACTAGCTCCTTGATAGTTCCCTGCCAGTTCCATAACAGTTCCACGATAGTTCCAGGATACTATCAGGTCACTAGCATGGTGCCAGGCTGGATCCTCAAATCACATGCCCAAAAGATCGGCCGAAATTATGGCATAGTGTCAGCCAAAATTAATCTTAGATCTACTGCGCCACCCGACACTATATTTTTTTTACCACAATTTGGCATTTTAACAGGTAACCAAATAGGCACAAAGGGTAAGTACTTCAATATAGAATTTGACATTCAATCAGACGTGAAAGGTCAGTATCAACAATATATAACTTAAATTACAAATAGAGTAGAAACAGGAAGAAAAGAGAGGTACTTAGGTTAAAGTGTGGGGGATATTTAGATTATAACGTGGTAATAAAATTATACATAAGAGAAAAAATACAGATATCAAGAAAGGTATAAAAATATAGCTAGAATGTGAATAGAGATAGCATCAAAATAAAAGGGTAGATTATAGTGTGGTAGCCAGATTATGTATTCAGATTAAAGCGTGGTAATTAGTTCTTAGTAATTAGATTATATCATGATATTTAGGTTATAGTGTGATATTTAGATTTTAGTGTAGTATTTAGATTATAATGTGGTATTTGGATTATAGTGTGGTATCTAGAATATAACGTGGTATTCAGATTATAGTATGGTATTTAGATTATAGCGTGGTACTATAACCTAGCCCAAGTGGGATACCACACTATAATATAATTATATTATAGTGTGGTATCCCACTTAGGTAAGTAATGACAGAATTAATAATTTATAACTTACGATCTATTAAATAAAAAAATTAGTTAGTTTAAATTATATAAATATTATATAAATAAGTAATAATAGAATTAAATAAATAACTTATAACTTACAATCTATTAAATAAAGAAATTAGT